TTTCTCTTGGGCCGGAAAAAAAAAAAAAAAAAAGAGAGAAAAGAAAAGGAAATTCATGATGTATTTTTCTGTTTTTCTACACAAAAATGCATCATGACTTTTAAGATGACCCAATACAACAGCAAATTCTTCACCTGTACTGACACACAAAGGAAAGAATGCAAGCAAGCTAGTATTCCTTATATAAAATCTGAAGCATAGAAGGGATAAAGTGGAATTCTATTTAAGGCTTAGAGTTTATTTTTGGATGCCACAGACAATTAAAGATAGGTTTAAAAACCATACAGTGGCTACAAGTTCTGCTCCTAAGTACCTTAGACAAAGTACTAAATATACAATTAAATGTGCTACTATTTATGTATTTGCCATTTGGGGGGAAAAAAACTTTCTCATGGTATACAGTATATGGTATATAGAATGGTGTAATTCTTTGGTCAGAACTATCTACAACCTTTGGCTAATAAACTCAATAGCGTATATAGTGGCAAATCAGTTTAATACTTAGGTATTGTCTAATGAGATATCTATCTTACAAAATTTCTTAACAAAATAATTGGAGAGTCAGTCCTGTGGCCTGGTGGATAGTGGTGTCGGATCCCATATGGCTGACCATACAGTTAAAACCCCAGCTACAACAGCTTGAAAATCACACCAAGTGTGTGTATATGCACGTTCAAAATCCAAACAAGATGAAGAAATGGAGGAGAAGAGATTGCAACTGATTATGTCCCACTGGGGGTGGGGTGGGGTGTGTGTGTGCTTCTTCCCCTTCCCCGTCTCTGTATTTTTTTGGTAAATACATGTACATTCTGGCAATGAAAAATAATATCTGTAAATCATAATTAAATGATCTCTTCCAAAATAATTTTTTTAAATGGAGATACTTAATTTGTGAGATAAAACACACACACACACACACACACACACACACACACAACTATATAAATGTCATACCTAAGAACACCACCAGCATCTACCAAGTTCTTCTTCAGCATGTTAAAGGCCTTTTCCTGCTCCATTCTGATTATTTTCTTGTCAATTTTGGGGTCTGTAGGAACTCTATATTCAGGAAACTTCTGTACTTTTTTGATGTAAATCCTTTATATAAGATAAAGAATTTGTTTCATTATATTATAATCTCAAGAAAAACTAACCAGATGTCTACTTTAAGCATTTGTCGAAAATCTACTTTATTTAGAAAGTATTCAAAGGTTAATATGAAAGATATGTCATATGTTCAGTGAATAATACTTAGCAAATTAACAATAAGCATGACTTGAGTAAAAATATATTACTATTGATGGATTTTAATGTTTCTGGAGTTGCATCCTTTTCATTCTCCTGGAAGCAGTAATCACCTCGTGCCTAAATTACTTAAATAGCTCCCTTCCAGGCCTCTATGCCTCCAATCTTTCATTACTTAAATCCATGTGATATACCAAAGTCACAGGAATTCTTCAGATTTGCAGTCCTTTGTTGAAGAATCTGCCTTTTCTCTAATCAAGGACAAATTTGTTGGCAGAATTCAAGGCATTCTGCATGAATCTAATTGCCTAATCTTACTTTCTATCTCCTCAAATATAAATTTCTTTTCCTATGAGTTCTTCTGAGAGGCTCCTTCCTCCTCTGATATCAAAATGCAATCATCCCATATCTTTATATTAATGGTTCTCCTAGTGACATATCTTCCCTTTTACTATCCATCTACCCAAATTAAATCTAAACATCGGCATCCAGGTTAAATTGCATTTTCTTTCCTACTGTGCATTTGTATAGATATACTCCTTCTTTGGAAATCTGTAACAGGTAGCTAATTCACACATTTTACACTCTATACTATTTAATCATGTTCTCCACTAATTTCTTATTTACTTATCAACTCCAATAGTATCTTTTTTTTAAGAGAGATTTTTGCTATAGGATGCTTATGCTTGCCAGAGAAACAGAGAGAGACAGAGAGACAGAAAGTGAGACATCACCCCCAGGGGGATAGCCACGCCACAATCCCTTCACCTCCATTCTCCTTGGGATTTTGGACACGGATACACAAGCACCTGGCATGAGTTTTAAGCCACCGTGTCCAAGACTAGAACTGCAGTCAACTACGTGGGAGTCCAGCAGCATAACTGTTATGTCATCTGCTGATCCCAACTCCAATGGTATCTTAAACTGCTGGGATTAAGTATAATCTTTTTCTCTTTTGGTCTCCCTCTTTCCTACAGTATCCAACGTAGTTTCTCAGCAGAAAACAGATGTTCGAAAAGCAAGGAGTCAACAGGTGGTGTGGTGGATAGACACTATGCTCCTACATGGCCGACCATGGTTCTAATCCTGGACCTGAGGCTTGAAAATCATGCCAGGTGTCTGTGTGTGGATGCTCAAAGTCCCAGGAGGAGAACGGAGAAGAAGGGATTGTGGCATGGCCACCCCCCAGGGCGGTGATTTCTGATGTTCCTTTTCATTGTTTGTCTCTCTCTGGTGAGCACACACGCCCTATGACAAAAACCTAAAAAAGTACTTGTAAAATGATATATTTCCATTTAGAGATTTTTCTCCCAAGTTACACCTAATTTTTTTTAATTCCTTTTTTTAAAGAGAGATCTTTTTTTTTTATTTTTGGTTATGGGGCAGGTACATTTGCTGGCGAGACAGAGACAGAAAATGAGAAATCACCTGGGGGGGATGGCCATGCCACTATCCCTTCTGTTCCATTCTCCTCTTGGAATTTTGGGCAAGCATGCACATGTGCCTGACATGAGTTCTAAGCCACTGGGCCTGGGACTTGAACTGCAGGCGACCACATGAGGATTCAGCGACATAACCATTACACCATCTGCTGGTCTCCCCAATTTTTTATTCTTTAAACAAAATTTTACTTGTTACTCTTTTTATCTTTTTAATTGCCATAGGGTGTGTGTGCATGAGAGAGAGATAGAGAGAGACAGAGATAGGAAGAGAGGAAAAGCATCTTCTCAAGGGTCATGTCACAATCCCTTCTCCACTTATCCATCCTATCAGGATTTGGGGCACATATGCACATGTTCCCAGTGTGTTTTAGAAGTCACCTAGGCTGGGATTCAAACTGTGGTCAGCCATGTGGGATCCAATACTTTTAACCACTAGGCTACCCATCTGGCCCAATACCTCAAAATTTTATGTCTAAAAAGTACTCGAGAGTTTTGATTCATGGTAAAACTTAAATATTGCCTGAAGTTAACATTATCAAATTAAATATAAAAATCTTTCTGAACAGGTTTTTAAGAGATTTTTGTTCTAGGTACGTGTGCTTGCCAGGGAGACAGAGAAAGATAGGCAGAAAGTGAGAAGTCATCCCTCCTCCCCAGGAGATATACCACAATACGTTCCCCTCCATTCTCCTCTCAGGACTTTGGGCACACATGCACACATGACCGGCGTGTGTTTCAAGTCTACAGTTCTGAGATTTGAACTGCAGTTGGCCATGTGGGAGTCCAGGGACTGTTACACCATCGGCTGGTCCCTGAAGAGGTTTTTAAAACTTCTTGAAAGGGGCAAGTCCCGTGGCACAAAGGTTAAGCCTTGTGCAGAGAGCCCACATGACTGACTGACTGACTGTGTTCCTGGTAGCCTGTAAAACACTCTGGGTACATGTGTGTGCAAGCTCAAAATCCTGATGGGATGGAGAAATGGTGGGAAAAAAGACTGCTACACGACTACACCCCTTTGGGTTGGTGCCTTTCTCTCTCTCTCTCTCTCTCTCTCTCTTTCTAGTGAGCACATGCACCCTATGGCAATTAAAAAAAAAAAAACTTCTTGAGAATGCTGTTTGTGATATAAAACATGGCAATTAAAAAAAAAAACTTCTTGAGAATTTTGTTTGTGATATGAAATATAATAATAAAGTAAAATGTTTCAAAGATCAACCAAGTTCAACCACTATATATTATCTTCTAAACACTTTCAAACCCTGAAAAAAAAAAAAGTAGTATTTAAGGACATTAAAAAATCTTTTATTCATCCATTTTTTTCATTCTCACCCAGAGCAATGACCACCATGTAGTCCTCTTTTACATAAAACGTACTATGTTGGTAGGACTAGGAGTTGATGTAGTAGTTACATTGTTAGACTCCTGCTTGACTGACTGTGGTTTGAGTCCTGGACCTGGTGGCTGGAAACTCACTCTGGGCGCATGTCTGTGTATGCCAAGATCCTGGGCAGAAAACAAAGGAGAGGGGACTGTGGCCATTCCCCCTGGAGGAGTGATTTGTTACTTTCCTTCTCACTGTCTCTGTCTCTCTCTCTAGGGAGTACACATGCCCTAAGGCAAAAACCTCTTTAAAAAAAACTTACTATATTGGTCTCATATACTGATTTAAAAGATATAAATTGGTAAAATCTTTCCAAAAAGTAACTTAGTAACACTTTTCAATATTTGAAAAGGATATAACCTTTGCCTTAGCCAGGTGCACAAATTAAATAATTCATCCATGAATAGAATAATGTGACTATCTAAAAGAAAAATAATTTCTTTCTTTTTTTTTTTTTACATTTTTGCCATAGAGCATGTGTGCTTGCCAGAGACAGAAAAAGGGAAAATGAGACATCATCCTGTAAGGGGGAGGGCCACACTGTAATCCCTTCTCTTCCATTTTTCTCTAGAGATTTTAGGCATGTACACACAGGCACCCGGTGTGATATTCAAGCTGCTAGGTCTGAGATTCAATAACCACCATATCATGTGTTTGCCCTGAAAGAAACAGCTCTTTTATATACAAATATGGAGTCAACTTTGAGATACACCTGGAGTGAAAAAAAAGCAGAGTGTAAGTAGTTTGTGTCTTTACTTTCACACTAGTATGTAACATAATATCCAATAGCATATAACCACTACATGGCTTTCAGATTGGGAAAAATCAATGGGAATTCACAACAGGAAAGAAGGTACACTACTACCTCATTTTAAGGAAAGAAAACATTAATGAGCTTTACTGAGATCTTCCACAACATATATGACAACAGATATGACAGAAAAGGGGGTGTGTATGTATCTATGCATAGATACATACAGAACATCTTTGAAAGATGACTCAAACTATTGAGAGCTGTTGCCTTAAAGAGAGAAAGGAGGTGGGAACCAGCAGTTAGTGTAATGGCTATGTTGCTGGACTCCCACATAGTCGACCGCAGTTTGTGTCCCGGACCCGGTGGCTTAGAACTCATGCCAGGTGCGTGTGCGTGCGTGCCCAAGATCCCGAGAGGAGAATGGAGGAGAAAGGATTGCGGCGTGACCATCTCCCTGGGGGGTGATTTCTCGCTTTCTGTCTCTATGTCTCTCTCTGTCTGTCTGGCGAACGCACGTGCCCTATAGCGAAAACCTCTCAAAAAAACAAAAGAAAAGAGAGACAGGAGGGTGAGCCAGTGGTGTGGGAGTGAAGATGGCCAGATCCCATCCACATGGATCACTGCATGGTTTGAGTTTTGGACCTAGCAACTTGCAAGTTGGGTGCACGTACATGCACACCCAGAATACTGAAAGAAGAAATGAAAGAAAAGGGATTATGGTGCGGCCATTCCCCATGGAGAGTGCATTCTCATTTTCCCTCTCTCTTCCTGTTTCTTCAGAGAGCATGCGTGCCCTTCAGCAAAAAAAAAAAAAAAAAAAAAAGTTAAAGAGAGACATGGGAAATAGGTAAGAGAAAATTAGAATTCACTGTATATTTTGGTACTGCTTTAAAAATAAAATTTAAAATTTTTATTTATTTATTTATTTGTTTATTTATTTATTTAAATATTTGCTATAGGATATGTGTGCTGGCTCCAGAGTAAGAAAGCAAGAGAGAGGGAAAATGAGAAAGCACTCTCCGGGGGGATGGCTACATCACAGTCCCTTTTCCTCCATGCTCCGCTCGAGATTTTGGGTATGCACATACATGCACCTGATATGTTTTTCTTTTTATTTCTTTTTAGAATTATTTGATTTAACTTTATTTATTTATTTTTATTTGACCAGAGAAGGACAGAGTAAGAGAGAGAAGAAAGTGAGAAAGCAAGCAGCCAGGTCCGGTACTCGACCTGCAGTTGGCCATGTGGGAGACCAGCACCCTTAACTAACTACCATGACACTTTCCGGCCCATGCCTAGTATGTTTTTCAAGCCACCAAGTCTGGGACTTGAACCTCATAGTTGGCCATGAGGCTGCCTTAACCACACCACCTAGCTGGCCTGGTACATTTAAAATTTTTTAAAAAATGCATATTAACTATTCAAAAATAAGTACTTAATAAAAACAAAAAATAAAATAAAGCTTACCGGGCTGGACAAGTGGCTTTATACAGTTGACAAGATCTGCTTTCCTGCTCACTGATTTTTTTTAATTGGAATCCTTTTCTCCTTGGCCCATACTGACACTCCATTACCACAGCTCTGCTCCCTGTGGGTTAAAACCAACTATTGACATGAATTCAAGTGTCCATCTATCCTAGACATTAGATTCAAAATAACCTAGTGGTGGCAATGTCAAAATCTACACTTTCAATTACACAACTTTAAGGAAAGAAAACAGTTAAGTTTCACTAAGATGTACGAACACATAAATTTAAAAGTTTATTGTGAGATATATCAAATGTAACATAATTTATATGATAAGGAAATTATGAAATACCACATATGTCAAATGTCTACTGCTAATTACATATGAATATTTTGAAGAGAGATGTCTGCTATAATGTGTATGTGATCACCAGAAAGAGAGAGACAGAGAGACAGAAAGGGAGAAATCACCCCACCCCCCAGGGGAGATGGATATGTTGCAATCCCTTCTCCATTCTCCTCTTGGGATTTTGGGCACACATGCACACACACCCAGCATAAATTTTAAGCTGCCGAGTCTCAGACTTGAACCACGGTCGACTACATGGTTATGACATGTAAACCTTACACCATCTGCTGGTCCTACATATATGTGATGTGATTTTAAATAATAATAAGTTTAAACCACTTTATAAATAGAAATTAGCAAATGCTACATTTAGTCAACAAATATTAGTATTATTACAATTTTTAATAAACTTTTATGATTTTTAAAAATAATTATTTTTAAAATTTTATTTATTATGATTATTTTTCAACTTGACCAGAGAGAAACAGAGAGAAAGAGGGAGAGTGAGAAAGCTTGGAAACAGGTCCTCCCCAGTCAGGCTGTGAGATGACTGTCACTCCAGGGAACACTGAACTGCAGGCTAGTGAGAGGACCTATGACAGAACCACCTTGTTAAGCTGCTCTTGGATTTCTGACAGAAACTGAGAGGTAATAAATGTTCGTTATTTTCAGTCACCATGTTTGGGGTAATTTGTTACATAGCACTCGATAACACAAAAAAGTAGACGTGAAAACTACATAGCTCGGGACCCGCAGACGGCGAAATGGTTACGTCATTGGACTCCCATGTAGTTGACTGTGGCTTGAGTCCTGACCCAGTAGCTTAAAACTCAAGCTGGTATGTGTGCCTGCGTTCCCAAAATCCTGAGAGGAGAACGGAGAAGGGATTGCGGTGGTCATTTTACCCAGGGAGTGATTTCTCGCTTTCTGTCTCTGAGTGCACCCATCTCATAGCAAAAACCTCTCTCTTAAAAAAAAAAAAACAAAAAAACTAAAAAGCTTAAGATTTTAAGTTGAATATCCTACTCTACTGTAGAATATGGAAAACTTTAAAAAATTTTTAAAAACCATAAATTCAAATGTTCATAAAGCTAACATTAAAATTTCTACTTTAAAGGCCACAGAAATAAAGGTGAAAGAAAAGTAACTTACTTCTAATGAATATAGCAAACGGGATAAGATATTAATTGGAAAAAAGTGTTTTATAAAACACATAAAAATTACTATGCAGAATATGAAAAACTGTAACTCAAGGCTGACAGGTGGCATGGTGGTTAAGGGTACTGGACTCTCACATGGTCAGCTAATGCTCGAGTTCTGGACCTGGCAGCTTGCTTTCTCTCTCTCTCTCTCTCTCTCTCTCTCTCTGGTCAAACTAAGATTAGTAAATAAATAAATAAAGTTAAATAATTAAAAAAAAAAAACAAGGGACCAGCAGTTGGTGTAATGGCTATGTTGCTGGACTCCCATGTAGTTGACCGTGGTTTGAGTCCTGGACCCAGTGGCTTAAACTCATGCCGGGCACGTGTGCATGCATGCCCAAGATCCCGAGAGGAGAATGGAGGAGAAGGGATTGCAGCGTGGCCATCTTCCCTTGGGGGTGATTTCTCACTTTCGAATGTCTCTCTCTCTCTCTGTCTTTCTGGCGAGCGCATGTGCACTATAGCAAAAACCTCTAAAAAAAAAAAAAACTCATAAAAAAAAAAAGAGCAGACTATGAATAGGCAATTCAGAAAGAAAAAAATATCAGCAAATGAACAATTAAAAAGATGTTCAGGGCCAGCAGATTGCATGGTGGTTGAGGGCGCTGGACTTCCACATGGCCAACCACTTTTCAAGTCCCCGACATGGCGGTTTGCTTTCCCTCCCCCCCACCTCTCTCTCTCACTCTGTCTCTCTCTGGTTAAATTTAAATAAATAAATAAATAAAGTTAAAGTAATTCTTTAAAAAAAAAAAAAGATGTTCAATTTCACTAGTAAACTGTAAAATACAGATTAAAACACTAGTAAAATACTATCCAACGCTCCTCAGCTTGGCAAAAATACTCCAAAATAACTGAATCCACTCATCATTCTGAACACCACAAATAGCCACACAGGCAGCAATAAGCCATCATTCTGAACACCACAAAAAAGACACATAGTCGGGGCCAGCAGTTGGCTATGTCGCTGGACTCCCACGTAGTCGACTGTGGTTTGAGTCTTGGACCTGGCAGCTCAAACTCGAGCCGGGCACATGTGTGTGCATGCCCAAGATCCAGAGAGGAGAAGGGATTGCGGTGTAGTCATCCCGCCAGGGGATGATTTTTTACCTTCTGTCTCTCTGTCTTTCTGGTGAGTGCATGAGCCCTACAGCAAAAACCTCTCCAAAAAAATAAAGACAAGTAGTCAGCAATAAGAACTATACAGCACATCCATTAGGTAGTCTTACCAAAAAAAAAAAATCTGCTTTTAATCAAGGATCAAGTTCTAATAGCTCACATAAATGTAGGAGAGAAAAGAACATGTCAAATTACACTACACAGATGGAATTAGCTAAGTCCAGAATATGGCAAATTCTACAAGATGAACTACCTGGAGAAAAAGAGGAGAGAAATTTTTAGATAAAAAGAAATTTAAGGTATATATTAACCACATGTAATTTGTGGACCTTATTTGGATCCAGATTTTAACAAACCCATAAGAAAAGAACCCAAGAGATAAGTGAAGAAATGTAAACAATAGACATTTTATAAATTAAAAAATTGCTGTTAATTCTTTTAAAATATGACAATGGGACTATCACATATATATCTATGTGAGAGTCCTTATCTTTTAGACTTTTTAAAAAATAATTATTTACTTTAAATTTTATTTATTATTATTTATTAATTTGACCAAGGTAGAAAGAGGGAGAGGGGGCGATAAAGCAAGCACCCACATCTGGGACTCAAACTGTGGCTGGCCCCCTAGAGACATATATTTAGTCTGTACAATATTCTTTAGTATTTGTAGATGAAATGATATCTAGAATACGTTGCAAAAACCATCAAGGGTAATGAAGAAGTAGGCAAAGGTATAGAAAAGACAAGTTTGACCATAATTGCTAGAGCTGAAATAATGGGGTTTCTTACATTACTACTGTCCCTACTTTGATATACATATGAAAATTTCCCTAACATAAGGATTTTATAAGTCTGATGATATAAGTCATTGAGTCGATGTGGGGAAGGGATACCACTATACATTGTTACAGAAGTAAAAATTGGTACAGATGATAAATCTAAAATCCAAAAAGTTCAGAAAACAAAGATTTTTGGAATTTATAACCTAAAATGTGTGAGGCTACTGATAGTCTTTATCCTTCTTACTACATAATTAACCATAAAAAATTATTTTCTGCTTACATAATAACGTTTATAGAATTCCTGCGAGGAGTATTCTGTAATATTATCATATTACAGTCCAAATATTTGGAATTCTGAAATATATCTAGCCAAAATAATTTCAGAGAGGCAATTATGGGCCTATACAACAAATATGAAGAGCAATTAAAGATAACTTGTAAAGATGAAAAGGCCAGGGACCAGCAGACAGCATCATGGTTATGTCGCTGGACTCCCATGTAGATGACTGTGATGTGAGTGGCTTAAAACTTAAAACTCCCCTGGGGCCAGCAAGTGGCATGGTGGTTAAAGGCACTGGACTCCCACATGGCCAATCACGGTTCAAGTGTTGACCTTTGTGGCTTGCTTTCTCACTTCCTCTCTCTCTCTCTCTGTCTCTCTCTGATCAAACTGGAAAATAATAATGATAATAATAAATAAAAGTTAAATAAAATACTTCTTTAAAAAAAATTTTTTTTAAACTCCCCGACCTGGTGGCTTAAAACTCACACTGGGTACGGGTATGCGTGTGCCCAAAATCCTGAGAGGAGACTGGAGAAGAAGGGACTGCATCACGGTCATCCCCCGGGGGGTGATTTCTTGCTTTCTATCTCTCTGTCTTTCTAGCAAGTGCACACATCCTACAGCAAAAAAACGCTCTTAAAAAAAAAAAAAAAGAAAGAAAAGAAAAGAAAAAAAAAAAAAGATGAAAAGTCCACAATTCAAAATCAGAAATTCCATTTTAAGGTACTCACTATAAAAAAAAAAATTGTATTTTTCACCAGAGAATGTCATCAAGGTTTGACTATAGTAGTCTTTTTAAAAATTATTTTATTTAACTTTATTTTATATGTATTTATTTTTAATTTGATCAAAGAGGGACAGAGTGAGAGAGAGGGAAAGTGAGAAAGCAAGCCACCAGGTCTGGGACTCGAACCATGGTCGGCCACGTGGGAGTCCAGAGCCCTTAACCACCACACCACCTGCTGGCCCCAACTATAGTAGCCTTTATGAAAGTGAAAAGCAATCAGAAAATACTGGGTCATTGAAAAGTCATTATGTAGGACCAGCAGTTGGCGTAATGGCTATGTCGCTGGACTCCCATGTAGTCGACCGCAGTTCAAGTCCCAGACCTGGTGGCTTAAACTCATGCCAGGTACGTGTATGTGCATGCCCAAGATCCTGAGAGGAGAATGGAGGAGAAGGGATTGTGGCATGGCCACCCCTTCTGGGGGAGGGATTTCTCGTTTTCTGTCTCTCTGTCTCTGTCTTTCTGGTGAGTGCACGTGCCCTATAACAAAAACCTCTCCAAAAAAAAGAAAAGTCATGATGCATTTTTTTAATAGAAAAATATGCCATGATTTTTCCAACAACTCAAAAATTATTATATAATACTCAAGTTGGATTAGTAATTTGTAAGTATTGATATGACTAGATCTCAAAAAATAAGGATGAGTGAGAAAATTTGTAAGACAATGCCTATAGCAGATTATTTATGTATATCTTCAAAAGTTTAAAACAATAAGGACCAGCAGTTGGTATAAAGGCTATGTCACTGGACTCCCATGTAGTTGACCGTGGTTTGAGTCCTGGACCCAGTGGCTTAAACTCATGCTGGGCGTGTGTGCGTGCCCAAGATCCCAAGAGGAGAATGGAGGAGAAGGGATTGTGGCATGGCCATCCTCCCAGGGGGTGAGTTTTCACTTTCCGTCTCTCTGTTTCTCTGTCTTTCTGGTGAGCATACGCGCCCTATAGCAAAAACCTCTACAAATAAATAAACAAGATATATTATTGTACATACAGATATGTATGGCAAAGCACCAAAATACAGACTGCAAAAACAAGTAGTGGCTACCTTAGGAGAGTTAAGAAGGGGATTAGAATTATAGAAGGGGGGCCATCAGGTAGTGTAGTGCCAGTGTAGTGATTAAGGCAATGGATTCCCACATGGTCAACTGTGGTTTGAGTCCCCAGACCAGTGACTTGAAAACTCATGGTGGGCATATGTGTCCCAAATTCCCAGGAGATTATGGCATGTCCATCCCCTCAGGGTGTGACTTGTTTTCTGTCTCTTTGGGCACACAAGCCCTATAACAACAACAAAAAAAAAACTATGGGAAAAGGAGGACTTCAATCCCTGCCCCCCCACACACACACATAGGGTACATGCACTCTAGATAGAGATAGAAGAAAATTGAGAAATCACCCTCCAGAGGGATGGCCACATCACAATCTCTTCGCCTCCATTTACTTCAGATTTTGGGCATGTATGCACACATGGCCAGCATGGTTTTTAAGCCACTGGGTCCAGGTCTAAAACCAGTTTACCACATGGGGAACCAGTGCCTTAATGACCACGCCACTTCCAGTCCCTCAAGTTTATTTATGTATTTTTAAAAATATTTCTAGGTTTTTGTCATAGGGCATGTGTACTCACTAGAGAGAGACAGAGAGGGAAAGTGAGAAATCAACCCTCCGGAGATATGACCATGCCGCAATCCCTTCTCTTTCATTCTCCCTTAGAGATTCTGGCATGAAAGCACACATATCTGGTATGAATTTTTTTTAGAGAGATTTTTGCTTTGGATGTGTTTGCTCGCTGGAGAGAGAGACAGACAGAAAGTGAGAAGTGACCCCCAGGGAAGATGGCCACACCAGAGTCCCTTCTTCTCCACTCTCTTTTAGGATTTTGGGCACACACACACACATGCATGAGTTTCAAGCCTCTGGGTCCAGTATTTGAACCATAGTTGGCCATGTGGAAATCAAGCAATGTAACCACTACACCATCTGCTGGCCCCAGAGATACTTGGTTTCTTATTTTCAAGAGATTTTTGCTATAGGGCACATGCGCTCACCAGAAAGACAGAAATTGAGAAATCACTCCCCAGGGAAGATGGCCTCGCCACAATCCCTTACTATCCTTTCTCTTCTCAGAATTTAGGGAATGCATGCACACATGCCCAGCATGAGTTTTAAGCCACCAGTCCGGGACTCGAACTGTGGTTGGCTATGTGGGAGTTCAGCGATATAACCACTATGCCATCTGCTGTTCCCTCTTTTTAAATTTAATTTAATTTATTTTTAGAGAGAGATTTTTGCTATAGAGTGTATGTGTTTGCCTGAGAGACAGAGAAACAGAAAGTGAGATAACACCTCCCAGGGGGATGGCCACATCACAATCCCTTCTCCTCTATTCTCCTCTTGGAACTCTGGGCATACATGCATATGTGTCTGGCATGAGTTTCAAGCTGTCGGGTTCTGGACTCAAACCATGGTTGACTATGTGTTAAGTCCAGCAACATAACTATTACACCATCTGCGGGTACTCACCTGGTGTGATTTGGGATTCTAACTGTGGTTGGCCATGTGGGAGTCTAGTGCCTTAACCACCTGACCGCTTGCTGGTAGCCACTTCATTTGTTTGTTTATTCAGTTAGTTATAATTATTTATTTAACTTTATTATTATTTTTAAATTTGACCAGAGAGAGAGAAAGGGAAAGTGAGAAAGCAAGGTGCCAGGTCTGGGACTTGAACCATGGTTCACCGTGTGGGAGAGTTCAGCACCTTAACCACTGTGCCACCTGCCAACTCCTCAAGTTTACTTTTGTTTTAAGTAATTATTTTCCTAACAATTATTTTATTTAATTTTTAATGTTTATTTATTTTAATTTGACCAGAGAGGGACAGAATCAGAGAGGGAGGGAAAGTGAGAAAGCAAGCTGCCGGGTCCGGGACGTGAACCATGGTTGGCCATATGGGAGTCAAGCACCCTTAACCACCATGCCATCTACTGGCCCCTCAAGTTACTTTTAATGTTTAATTTCTTTTACAGAATACTCCTGAACCCAGAGAGGTGGAGTCACTTTTATCTCATTTTCCCTAAGTATTTCCTCACTAACTTCCAGGGTCCAGTATGAAACCAACTTTTTTAGCAAAATTAGTGCCCCCCGGTATGGAAACAAATCGCTTACTATTAGGTCTCTGGGAATTACTTGAAACTCTACCACGTTAGTAAACACCAGTCCAATATCTGAGAATACTGTGTTAACTTGACGCTCGGGAACTCTATTATCACAATTGTTTATAATGACTCCAGATTGGATATAAATGCTATTCATTAATAGTAACCCTAGAGTTAAAAGCTACATAAAATGGATATAAATCTGTCTCACAAGACAAATTAAGAGAGAAGAAAAGAATATCTAAATTGGAGAGGAAAAACCACAGCAGAATATTTAATATACTAAAATTGCCCTTTTTACATTTTATTAATTAGGTCCACCTGGAGTTTCATTATTTTTATTTTCTATTTATCAGTATAATACATAAAGGAAGCATTCTTCATTCACTCTCATATATTAAAATACAATTCTATAACATAAAGTAACTAGTTTTATATACTATAAGTTTTCATTGTAGTTTAATAAGCATTTTCATCAGTGAACATTCAATTGTAGCCTATCAGAATGAAAATCACCTTAGGAAAATCACATTTTCACAACAGACTATCGCTGCTGTTGAACCCTTTAAAATAATTCTTTAAAAAGTACCTGCATTGACAAATGGGATTCCATCATATGGGACATACTGGGATTTCCACATCAAGCGAGTAGCAGGTTTAGCTGGGCTTGGAGACTGGCGGGTTCCCCAAACACTCTGTGTTTGTTGCTTGTGAAATGTCAGGACACTTTCTAATTCAGTCTCACTTATACAATAGCCACGGTACGAATCTCCAATTTTCTGCATGTGATAGAAATTAAATGATAAAATTATTAGCAAATTTTCTTTATTAGCACAATAAATTAAATGAGATGGTTGTCCAAGATGACTCTTCAGCTTTCACAAGAGAATGTCGTCATTCCCTTGGATCAATGGTTACTTAAAACCAGTAAGCATGATTGATCGTTATTCAACAAGTATCATTAAGTAAACATTCTCCAGGTATTTGTTAGGGAATGTAATGCTAAACTCATTGCCACACTATTTTTATCAAAATTTGAGAGAAATAATATTTAGAAGATAAAGAACATTCTTCCAGATATTTAAAATTCTACCCCTGTATCAAACCAGATTAACTTAAGTATCCACAAGTACTGGTTCTTTGTGGAGCTTCTGTTACTGAGATCGATTTTGATATAATGCCCTAAGTATTTGAAACCCAATAAAAATTGTGACTGTATCTCCTCTAAAAATGTTGTAGAGGGTCTAGCAGGTGGTGTGATATTAAGGTGCTGAATCCCACACAGCCAACTTCATAGTTAGAGTCACTGACCCAATGGCCTGAAAATCATGCTGGCACGGGTGTGCATGCCCAAAGTCTAGAGAAGAGAAGGGAGAAGGGATTGTGGTATGGCCTTTTCACTGAGGGGTGATTCCTCACTTTCCCTCTTTCTCTGGTAGTGTATATACCCTATGGCAAAAAAAAAAAAAAAGTTAAAGAAGAATTTGCTCATTATGTCAATTCTTTTTGAACATCTTTCTCTGAAATTTGCCTAGCCTTAGTACCAAAAATAGTAGTCTTCTTTTATGAAAACTAGCATAATTTCTTTTATTTAATAGGCACAGAATTTAATAACTATGTTTCCCCTTCAGAAATGTAGACACTTAGATTACAAATGAGTGTATATATGCATACACACACACACACAGAGTTCATTAAGATATATATTTACTCGGGACCAGCAATTAGTGTAATGGCTATGTTGCTGGACTCCCATGTAGTCGACCGCGGTTCGTGTCTTGGCCCTGGTGGCTTGAACTCACACTGGGCATGAGTGCGTGTGTGCCCAAGATCCCGAGAGGAGAATGGAAGAGAAGGAATTGCAGCGTGGCTATCCTCCCTGGGGGGTGATTTCTTGCTTTCTGTCTCTCTCTGTCTGTCTGGCGAGTGCATGAGCCCTATAGCAAAAACCTCTCCAAAAATAAAAAGTTACATATTTTATTTCCATTTTATGGTCCCATTTTTGTATTCTTTAGCTCCCACTTTTAACTTTCACCTTGCCATGTATTTTATGTATCTTTATAAGCTGACGCAAATGCATTAAAAAAATAAAGCATGGTATAAATAAATGTTGTAAATACATTGATGTTGGGATCAACAGATGGCATAATGGCTATGTCGCTAGATTCCCATATGGCTAACCATGGTTTAAGTCCCAGACCCAGTAGCTTGAAACTCATGCTGGGCCCAAGTGCAGGTGTGCCCAAAATCCTGAGAGGAGAATGGAAGAGAAGGGACCATGTGACTCTGCCTCCTGGGGAAGTGATTTCTAGCTTTCTGTCTCTTTGTCTCTATCGAGTGTACGTGCCCTATAGCAAAAATTTTAAATAAATTAATAGATACTATCTTTACACAACTATTTGAGTATTCCTGTAGGGTAGGAGAAGCTTTATCTATATCAACAGAAAACACGTGTTAACTGAGATATCTTCCCCTGAAATACATACAGACCCGACTCCATGTATTTTTTCCCCTTTAAAAAAATAGGAGTAGAACTATGCACATGGAAATCTTATTTATCCTCATCAGAATAAATATTTCACCTTTAAAGAATACGTTTCTCATGGGACCAGCAATTAGGGTAATGGCTATGTCGCTGGACTCCCACGTAATTGACCGCGGTTCAAGGCCCGGATCCGGTGGCTTAAAACTCACGCCAGGCACGTGTGTGTGTGCATGCCCAAGATCCTGAGAGGAGAAAGGAGGAGAGGGGCTTGCGGGGTGGCCATCCCCCCTGGGGAGTAATTTCTCACTTTCTGTCTCTCTATCTCTCTCTCTCTCTGTCTGACGAGCGCATGCACCCTATAGCAAAAACCTCTCCAAAAAAAAAAAAAGAATACGTTTCTCAAAAGGAAGGTAACGAAATACTGTTGAAGTTGCCCTTTTAGCCATAATAATAATTTAAAAATCTGATGCCAAATAACACATTATCTATGATTTCCCCTCAAAATAATGAAATGCTCTTATTTACAAATTTTATTCTAGCCTACATATTTCTTCATCAGAACATCCACTACAGGAGCCAGCCCTGTGGCCTAGTGGTTAAAGGGGACAGATTCCACACGGCCCCAGCACATGAAAATCACAACGGTACACGTGTATACTTGCCTGAACCTCAACGGGATGAAGAAATGGTAAAGGGACTGCAGGGTGACCACGCCCCATAGGGAGTGCTTTTTCCTTTTGTCTCTCTGGTTAGCATGCACAACCTCTATCAATTAAAACTTTTTAAAACTCTATTACCAAAAAAAAGGTCCACTACATGAAAGTAGAAATGTAAAGTCTAGCTGTCACACTTTTATAAACATCAAATTAATAGAATATATAATACTGTCAAATAAAAGGAAAAATTCAGATTTAGTATAATATAATCTGGTCTATAAAAAGGCCTATAGATAAAAGTTTAATATAGTATTAAAATTTGTCCAATTACTAGATTTTGATAAAAATCTGAAAAAAATGTCCATTGAAAAACATCATTAAATAAGAAATTCAAAAAGTAAAAAAGGCCCAGGCTAGGGGCCAGCAGGTAGCATGGTGGCTAAGGTACTGGACTCCCACCTTGTCAACCACAGTTCAAGATCTGGATCCAGAAGCTTGAAAATCACACCAGGCATGTGTGCACACATGCCCAAATCCCAAGAGGAGAATGGAGAAGGAACTGCACCATGGCCATGACCCCAGGGAATGATTTCTCACTTTCTCTCTGTCTGAATTCGGTGAGTACATGTGTCCTATGGCAAAAACCTAAAAAACAAACAAACAAACAAAGTCCAGCCTTTGTGGTGCAGTTGAGGGTATGCTAGATTGACAGGCTGGAAGTCACATGGTCAGGCCCAGTTCAGAACCCAGACCCAGCTGACTGGAAACATGCTGGCATGTGCACACTCAGGATCCTGACAAGCTGCAGGCCTGGAGGGGGAATTGGGGTATGAACAGGTTGTCAAGAAGTATCTCTCCCTCCGTGTATGCCTCTCTCTCCAGTGCAAATGCACATGCCAGATGTCACATGGCTGACCACGGGTTTGGATCATGAATCATCCTGAAAACATGCTAGGGAACCAGTAGTTAGCATAATGGCTATGTCGCTGGACTCCCACATGGTCGACCGCGGTTCGTGTCCCGGACCCGGTGGCTTAAAAAACTCACGCCGGGTGCGTGTGCGTGCGTGCCCAAGATCCCGAGAGGAGAATGGAGGAGAAGGGATTGCGGCGTGACCATCCCCCCTGGGGGATGATTTCTCGCTTTCTGTCTCTATGTCTCTCTCTCTCTCTGTCTGTCTGGCGAGCGCACGCGCCCTACAATGAAAATCTCTCAAAAAAAAAAAACATGCTAATGAGATCCTATGAGCTGGAGGCTAAGGAACATTAATCATGACATTATGAGACCCTATCAAGGGTACCTAGAGGGTAGTCTGTCTTGTCTGTCTCTTCCATGCTCACACCTGTGCACACACATGTTCCCTCTCTTGAATCAACTAAATCAACTTAAAAAAGTAAGTAGGAGGCCTAGACTACCAAAAATGAAAGATGAGCTTGAGAAAAGTAAACAATAAGACAAGACAGGATACCAGGTGGAAGGCCTTGAAAACTAGATAAATAATATGGAGGAAAATAACACTGAACTTACTGGCAATGAAAACAGAAAATGAAAGCAATAAAGACAAATACTTTTAGAAAAATACACATCAGAGATCAGAAATGGAAAAGTCAAAGGACAAAGTTCTATAAGAGAATGGGCAAAAGAAAATTTAAAAAAGACACATAAAGAAAAAACTGGGGAACCAGCAGTTAGCGTAATGGCTATGTCGCTGGACTCCCACATAGTCAACCGTGGTTTGCTTCCTGGACCCGGTGGCTTAAAACTCACGCCGGGCGCGTGTGCGTGCATGCCCAAGATCTCGAGAGGAGAATGGAGGAGAAGGGATTGCGGCATGACCATCCCCCTGGGAGGTCATTTCTCGCTTTCTGTCTCTATGTTTCTCTCTGTCTGTCTGGCAAGCGCACGCGCCCTACAGCAGAAAAAAAAGAAAAGAAAAGAAAAGAAAAGAAAAGAAAAGAAAAGAAAAGAAAAGAAAAGAAAAAACTGAAAGAATCTATTGACTACCTGAATGTGGGAAAGGAAAAATTAGTCTAAAAGTTTGTGATAGGGTGTGTGGGGAAATGATATTTGTGTTTAGATAAAGAATTCAGGACACAGCACTAGCTGTGGTTTTGTAGATGATTTCTATTCAGGAAATAGTGAATTTGAGGTGAAATCCAAATAAATCTTCACGTAAGTAGCCAGAGATCGAGGATAATAGCAAGAGCAGAATTACAGAAATGATAAAAGAGTCGGGATTTTTTTTTTTTAAGGTTTTTGCGACAGGGTGCATGTGCTCACTGGAGAGACAGAGACAGAGAGAAAGTGAGAAATCACCCCCTGCCCCTGGGCGATGTCCGTACAGAAATCCCCTCTTTCCCAATATCCTATGATTTTGGAGACGTACAGACACACACACACACGGCATGATTTTCAAGCTGCCAGGTCTGGGATTCGAATCTCAGTCGGCTATGTGGGAATCCAGCACCTTTACCACCACACCACCTGCTGGCCCATTGGGAATCTTTTTTATTTTATTTTATTTTTTTTAGAATAATTTAACTATCTTTCCTTTCCTTTTTTTCTTCTCTTCTCCTCTCTCTCTCTT